ATCTGATGTGCAAATATACTTGCTGTCAAGCACCACTCATACAATAGAGTACCTTAATAAGAAGGTTCATCGACTTCACTGACAAGCATATTGAGTAATTTAATAATCTGACAAGCCAAAATTAACCCTTATCRCATAGATTTAAAATGATAAAAAATACCCAAACAAAAAATTCCTCCACAAACCAAAACAAGAAACTCTAAGCAATGCAGAGCTCTTCCTTGAAATGTTAAAAAACCCACATTCCTTCTCTTAAAAATACTTTCAAATCCTTCTAACACAAGTAGATTGTGTTTTATATATTATAATTACCTTACTATTATTGCTGCTATTTCATATAATTGATATAATTTTACTTCCTTTTTCCCCCCTAATTGTGCTCTAGATTCAATGTTTTGATACAGAACATTTTTTTAATATTCACTTTTTAACAGTGCTCCTTGAACCTAGTCTCTCATCTCGATTTTAACACATGCAAAAATGTATGGCCTGGATATCATGGTTCTTTAAGGCTGAGTTTAACAATCAAATCTGGAATAGGGACTATAAAATGAACTTTTGGAGTGGAAATTTGCCAGACGTTTCTCCGAYACACGACTGCCTTTTCTATAATTCTTTACAGAGGGAAATTAAACAGTGAAACAGCTAAACTCAGTGGAAAAGTAGACTATCTCAGTACAAAGAATAAGGGATCCATGCCTAAATGTAGAGCATCCACCAAGAACGTTGTAGGAGGCATGAAGTGGGCATGCAGCCGTGAATTTATGTCAGCATGTGTACAAGTATCTACGACAGTGCAAATCTACAGAGCAGTTAAAAATAGCAGTGGAGACAGATGAAAGCAGACTTCAGCATGGTTTAATAATCTGTCCAGAAGGCTTGGAAAGCCCTCCCTTAAGTTTAGGCTGGCATGTCTTCACATCAAATACAAATCAAAGCAATTACAGAGCTGTCTGCATGTCCTGCAATCACACTACTTGACTGCAGTGTAGACACATCCAGAAATAGTGCTACTGTAGATATGTTCATCTAAAAAGTGCATTTGCAAAAGGCAAAGCCTGGAAGCATACTGTAAAGCATATGTGACCTGATGAGGAACATATGCTGAAGAGAGTGTCCATTTTGCTAAATTCTATTAGCTGTGCTAATTCTTCCCTCTATGCAGCCTGCTTCCTTTGTACTTCTGGAGGACTTTCTTTGTCTTCCTGTAACACCTTAGCTGGCGTTTCCTGTGGGGATTCAGAGTCAGGCCAGATCAACCTGGACCTCCAGGTACAGCAATTCACCCAGCGTTACTCTCTCATGGAGACATGTCTGATGAAGGTACACTGTACAGGCAGCTGGGGGCAACCATGTGGCATGTAAACAGCACTCATTCCTCTCCACAGAACCAGCGCCAGACTCTGAATCCCTAACCCAAGCAGGTGTATTAGTTATCTACTGGGTCAAGGCCAGCTATTTCAGAACATCAAGACACCAACACTGGCTTTATCTATTACTGCTGCTACCTGGGGCAGAACTWATTGTGATGCAGAAACCCAGAGCTGATAAAGTCCTTCAAATTCAGGACCTACTCTCCCCCAGCAGTGGTTTGTTTGCTGCATGGCAGCAACACTATTGCCTGTATTGGCCACAAACTACAAACCACCACAGACACTATATCTTCTCAAGGATGACTTAGTATCATTTGTCCAACAAGTGACCAAAGGAATCTATGTATGTTCTTAAGCTGACTGTGTAATTCACTCTGAGGAAATTTTGTGTGCATTTTGCTAGATCACAACCAGAATACAAATTAAGAAAGAATGCAGTTATTCAACACACTTTGCTGCCTTACCAGGAGATTATAAGGACGCACAAGAGCTAGTGKTGACTCAGGCAATTCAAGATCCAGTAGGAATTGGATAACAGSAGCAGGGATTGCACACAGGCTAGTTTACCATGGGAAGAAGCAAGTTAGCAAAATACAGAAAGTTTTGGGTACAGGACAAACATTCTGCGCTGTTGCCTGTCCCTGCGGAAACCCTGAGCACATGCACAGCTGTGCTCCAATTAGTTGTCTGGACCTGAGCATCTCAGCACTCAAACACAGTGAACTCTTCAGTCATCAGGCAGAGCTGTTTCAACAAATTCCACTGAACTGGAAGAAGCTGCTCACTCCCTTGAAGGGATGCCCTGCAGACACCTTGACAAATTAGCAGGCTGGGCAAACACCAACCACATGAAGTTTRACAAGGACAAGAGCTTGATTCTGCACGTGGGACAGGGCAAACCTGGATGATAAGGACAGACTGAGAGGTTGGAGAAGGAATGAGAGAACCCATGGAATAGGACCTGATGGTTCTGATCAAGAGCAAATTGATTGAGTCAACACTGTGCACTGGTAGTCAAAAGGCCCAACCATGTCCTAGGGGGCATCAAGCACATAGAATRATTCCTGTACCTTATAAATATCCATTTGCTACCTACATGAGCACTACTCTCAGTTTTGTTCAACAAAAGAACAATACCCCACATCCTGTGGTACATCAAGCACAGCATSGCCAGCCGGGCAAGGGAGGGGATTGTCCCGCTCTGCTCTGACCTGGGGCRGCYTCAGCTCAAGTGCTGGGGGCAGCTTTGGGTGCCACAATATAAGGAGGATCTAAAATTATCTTAGTTTTTAGACACACTTAGGAAAGTGCCTAAAGGAGGACCACGAGGATGGTGAAGGCTCTGGAGGGGAYGCCATGTGAGGAGGGGCTGAGAGCACTTGGTCTGTTCACCYTGGAGGAGACTGAGGGGAGACCCCACTGCAGTTACAAGTTTCTCGTGAGGGGAAGAGGAAGGGCTGGCACTGATCTCTTCTCTCTGGTGATAGTGATAGGACCCGAGATAATGGCCTGAAGTTGTGCTGGGGGAAGTTTAGACTGGATCTTAGGAAAAGGTTCTTCACAAAGAGGGTGAAGGTTCTTCACCCAGGGAAGTGGTCACAGCACCAAGCCTGYCAGAGTTTTAACATTAATGAAATGCAAATTATTAATGATGTAAGTATAACTCATTTTCCTGGTGATTCCATTCTGTAACTCAAGATAAGGCCCATGTCCTAGCAACAAGTACAAATATTGTGCTTTATCCAACATTCAGTATATGAGCTTGCAAAATGGTAATAACCTAGAAATTAACATAATTTAGACACCTTAAGATTCTTTCCATGTAACAAGAGGCGAAATGAATACACTTAGCACAGTAGAATGTGGGTCAGGGAATATGACACAGTATGTTTACCTTACTAGTACTCTTCTGCTTCTGTGTGCGACGTATTTCCTAGATATATTTTGCTGTATTTTGTTTGGGGCTTTTTTGTTTGCTTTTTTTTTTTCCTTCATCTTGGAGGCAGCTTCTACAAATATTCAAACAAGTGTCTCAACAGGCTGACCACTTCAATATTTAAAATCTTGAGTCCATTTAAAAGCAACACTCTGGATCTTCATAWATTTACTACTGTGACTCAACTGGAACTGTCAGCATAGCATACAAAAAGCAGAATATTTACAGCTGAATTTTAGTCAAAGAGAACATGAGGTATGTACATGCACATCTAAGCAATTAMAGGTATTTCCTAATTCTAAATAAAAAAGATCAGTCAGTATGGTGAGATTCTGCAAAAGAACTACCTGGACAAATAACCCACAGAGCATTATAGCTCCAAATCACCATCACATGCATGCCCCTGTCATGCACATCACAGATTCACAGAATGGCTGGGGTTGGATGGAACATCTGGAGATCATTGAAACACCATTGAAACACCAGGTTCACCCGGAACAGGCTGCACAGGATCATGTCCACGCTGGTCCAGGAAGGAGACCTCACGACCTCTCTGGGCAGGCTGTTCCAAGAAAGCTATGTAGCACAGCTTGATTTTCACTCACAGATGTAAACAAGTTGGTGAAAATAGGGGGGGTTGAAGGGAAGTGCTAAGTTCCTGATTAGAATTTCATTTTAAATGGAAAGTTCCAGACTGATACAGYAACAATAAAACAGAAGCAGGGAGAAGGGGGAGGATTTATACATAAGAGGTCATGCAGCACACTGCATTGAGTTTAAAAGATAAGTAAGACAATGCTTTTTTTCTCTGTTATAAACAAAAATAATGCCAGCAGTTGGACTGCAAACAAGAACTGAGGAGGAAATTGAACAAAAAGGAAATGCTTACAGCAAACCTCACAAACCTAATGCTATATTTCAACCAGAAAAAAATACTTTAAAGTGTCACTTCATAATTCTTCATAAAGTACAAATCAACCATATTCATATTAAAAATAAGCTTCTGTAAAAATGCCTTACAATACAAGAAAATAGATCCAATTGAGGGTTTCCTGATTTGCCAAACCRTGACAGCTGAACTGCACTTTTCTCTGATAACTGTAAGACCTCCAGACCTCTGAATCACTTGAAGCTTTATTGTAGAAGATGAAATCACAGTTCCACCTTAGAAAGGTAAGTTGCAGATGATATTTTTACCTCAAACATTAATTAATTATTTTCCCCCTCAGTTTAAAACTCCCTTAGGGACCTAAATCAATAAAGTATCTGATGCATATGTTCTATTTTCTTGTTTCCAATGGTTCCACTGTGCATATAAATCTACTGCAGAACCACATTTGCATTTAAACACAAAATCCCTTGTGTTTACAATGCACCTGCTCCATATAAGACTATCTTCTCTACCTCCTTTGAGAAAYAACAGATCTGCCAGAAAGAGAGGGAGCACAGACACAACACTACTCCAAAACCTCTTGAAAATCGTCTAAGCACCATTTCCTTTAGTTTAGTTATGGCCCTATTCTGACAAGAGTTGAAAATAATTACTATTTGACCTTCCAAGATCCAGTATTTCTCAACTATTTCTAATGTATTTTTCATTTTAACAACCAACGTATACATTTCAAGCAAAAAGAACCCCACTGTATTTTCTAAGCAATACACAGTATGGCATAGGCAAATTGATTACTTACAGATTTTCACATGAAAAATGTAAGTTTTTCTTTATTTTACTTGGCACTAATTTTAATTGTCATGGCTGCATAAGGAAGGATGAGAATATTCTCCTCTTGATGTTTTACCTGAAAAGAGATGCAGGTTTATTCTAGTAAAATTGAAATTAAAAACCAGTTCTTTCCTTCTCTTCCCCTCCTTGGTCACGATTCATGGGTTGCTTCCAGGGCTTCAAGCAAAAGACACAGACAAGGGTGCAGATAGAGCTCTGCTACACCCCTCATCCGGCCAGCCAAAACATTTAAATGCCTGATGAGGGAGCTAACTTGCTGCATCCCACAAAGGCTGCTGGAACTACAGGTCTTTGTGCTGATGATGTGCAGCAGCACCAGTCCATGACACCAAACAATGACACAAGCATCATCATCCCTGCACCATTGCCCACAGGAGTTTTGTTCTGCCTCTGGCTGTGTGCTCCCCCTTTGTTGCCAGCATCTCCTTGCACGTGGAGGAAGCGCCACGTGCATGTCTCCATTTCAGAGAACAGAAGCTATAGTGGCCACAGCAGGGCTGTCAYACCTTCCCTTCCTGCTTCTAATCAGACACGTGTCCAAGGACAGAGCTGCTACAGGAACAGATACAGGTCTGAGACATCCTGGAACTGGACTGTGAGAGAGAGAGTTGTGCCAATSCAGGTGGAATTGCATCTCAGGTGTGTGTAGGATAAAGACTTCTTGCACCTTTGGAGTCTACATGGGAACAAATTTTAGCTCCCATGAAAACTCAAAAATTGGGAAGCAGAGAGACACTTCATAGTTTTTCAAGCTCTGATGATAGTTACAAAATATATAATATCTGAGATCACAGGTTTGCAATTATGAAAAAAATTACTTATCACAGTACTCYGCAAAGGGGCTGAATCTCCAAAGGTATCACTCAGTGACCTTGCCCAAGCAGTCCAATTTTACATGCAGCTCTTTGTAAACTCAGAAGCTGGCCCCAAAGAACTCATGACGTACTTACTTGCCATGTTGCTGTCATTAGGAAAAAAAATTAAGATAAGCAGCTTCCAGCTAATGTAAATTACTATCTTCTACAGAACCTCCTTACCTGAAAGACTGTCCATCTGCTTTTGCCAAAATCCACTTAAAAGCATTTTGAATAGCCTATACAGGACTGCTCAAACAAAACATTTCCTGTTAACAAGGTCCTCAGATTTGGAAGTAACTCTTCATTGGGCCAGTCCTCTGATGTACTTCTATTTTACTCACTTTTTCAACAAGCTACAAGTCAAACATATGCTTTCTGCGGCACACTGAATCAGTGACACAGACCAGAAATCACAAACACCTGAAGAATAAGTGACCTGTCAGTTTAGGACACTTTGCGTGTGTTCAGTGGAATGGTCAGTTTGCATGAGCCAGTCTTTGACACATGAAAACAGGCAGAAATTAAGCCTACCACACCTTACAACTGGAGCCTTTTCACAACAGGCCACTTCACACATGGGCTGTGTTAACTAAGCAATACTTGAAGGAGAAGTTACAATGTTTCTACTCTAACTACAGTGATGAAGCAAGTGTCTTCTTCCGACCACTGAACAGGTCAAAYTCTAATTGTCTTCTTCACATGAAAAGTGTTTCTCACTATGTTTGAACTACCTCTTGAGGGAGCCCCCACGCCTGCTCTTGAAGACAGTTTTTCAGCTTACCTGCAAAATCTTCAAAATATGGCTTCAGTATTGCATGAGGCGTATTTGCAGGCTTAACAGTATTAAGACAGAAGTGGCTTACCAATTTCACCAAGCATGAGCTCACCCATGAGCTAGCTGCAGAGGATTTTAGGGTGAAGAAACTCATGTTTATGGGTGGTAGTAAGGCAATAGGTCATGCTTTTTATGGCTTGCTGGAAGCACATGCAGTACACATAACTCCTAAATTCAGTAAGGGCAGGACACTATTAAAGTCTGCTGCAGCACTCTGCACAAGGCTAAATGCATGCACATCATTCAACATAACTCCTGGCCGCAGACCAGGGCTATTTGCACAAAATACAAAATTACTTTGATTTCCCAACACTCTGGATGTATACCTTTCTYCACCTATTTAAATGGCAGAAAAGGTCGAACAGTCAAGTGATTTGCTTCAGAATAATTTTTTAAAACTTTTTTTCAGCTACCTTTCAYTGGATTGCTGAGGTATAAAATGAGGTGAAGATGCTAATATTTTCCATGGAAGCACAGGCCCTAGCAGTTTTTTGGTGAGTTTTGGGGTGGAGGGAYTATTTGAAGAGCAGTTGTGACTGATCAATGCCTCTGTAAGAGATGTGGCTTTAAGCCAACCACTGAAAGTGTTGTGAGGTGATAACATTGACAATGAAACACTAAGACCGTTTAGGTGCTGGTTCATACCCAGTACCATCAGGACCTGATGCTCCAGCTCTTCTTCATATAAACTGCAGTTGCTCACATCAAACACTCACTGATGAGGGTATGAAAAAGGTTTGATCCCTGCTGCTACAAAAACACGATTTTTGATTGACCCGAGTATATGCCTTGGTGCATGTTTCTACCAGACAACTTAGCATTTGTTTCCCCACAGTTACAAGCATGAAACTCCTACTTGATTTTCTTCGATTTCGGCTCGCCCGGCGGGACAGGAGAGTGCTGACGGCTGGGTCCCCGCCCGGACGCCCGGCTCCGAGCAGAGCAGCGGCAGATCTGCGTCGGCTCCGAGCGTCAGCGGCTTGCACTGCGCTACAAGGGCTYCGCGGCGGCACTTCGCAGGGCTGACATCACGTACGCGCTCAGCCCCAGCAAAACCCCCCGTATTCAGCCCTGATTTCATGCGGAAAGCACTTCCCCGGGGCGGGCTGGCGGGGGCCAGGGCCGGGCTCGCCCCCCGCCGCCGCTCCCGCCCGCCGCCCGCGTCTCCCGCCTCCCGGGCAGCCCCGCTCCGGCGCCCCCGGGGATACCCAGGCGGGGGAGGCACGTCCAGAGCCACCCGCACCCCCCGCGGATCACCCCGGGCTCGGCTCCGCGCCCCCACGCCCGCCGCCCCGGGGGGCAGCGCTGTCGGCGGCAACAAAGCCCCGTCCGCTCCGCTCGCCTCGCCTCACCTCACCCCTGCGCTCCGCTCGGCCGCGGCCGCTCCACGGCAGCCGGGGGTGATGGAGACGGGGAAGGACCCAGGTGCCGCCTCTCGGCTGCCGCCCCACGCCACTCCCCGCCGGTGCAGGCAGCGCTCCGGCAGCGGCGCGGCTCCCGCCGCCCCGCCCTCCGCCCCTGCCCTGCCACCGGGCAGCGGCCGGGAGGAGCGGGCGGAGGAGAGGGAGACGGAGT